CCACAACACGCCACTGTGGGCCACCACCGCCTGTGTGCGCACAGCCCACGTCCAGATGCTCCCCGTGTGCAGACACCGTCCCTGTCCAGGCACCACCGTGTCCCAGCACCGGCTCTGTGCTGACACCAGCCGTGGGCAGCACCCCCAGTGTCAGACGTGTCACCTGTGTGAGACATGCCACCCACGATCCAGATGCCACCCAAGTGCCTTAGTGTGCCACTCATATACAGGGGCCACCCCTGTCCAGGCAGGACCTGTGTCAGCTGCCGCTTGTGTTCAGATATGATCCGTGTGCAGACACCATCCGTGTGGAGACACCACCCATGTGGAGATCCCACCCGTGTGCAGACACCACCCATGTGGAGATCCCACCCGTGTGCAGACACCACTTACATGTCAATGTCAACCCTGTGCAGATGCCACCATGTGCCCAGCCATGCCGTCCGTACCCTGGTGGCATGGCACAGCTCAGCACAGAGGGGCCCTGGTCAAGCTCAGGGTTCTCACCGCCCCATGGGGGACCCAACACAGCTCTTCCCAGCAGAACAGCTCCTTTATTTTTACCATCACCCTGCCTTTGAGCGCTTCATTTCCAGCACATGGGTACAGGGAGAAGAATCGCTCAATACAAAGAGAACCTGGGTTCACCCTGAAGACCTCAGTGGCCAAACAGCTTCCAGCTGTAGCCGCAATGGTTTTGCTGTGTTTAGGGGAAAATTGTTCTTTCCCAAACGGGTCAAAAGAAGGCAGAAGTGTGGATTATGTTAATTTTCTCTCTCCTGCCATGATCTAATTGAAAATTTGAAGGGTCCTGGCTAATCTCAGCTGGGTCAGTCCCCCGCATATATTAGAGACATCACGGACACCTTTTAATAAGAACAAGACTCATTTACCACACGCACTTTGATTACAAGCCTCAGCTTGATGATTGGTGGGGAAAAGCAACCACCTGAGAAGAAGACCAAAGGACACCTCGAGGCCCAGGTCAGAGTTCGAACCGACTGTGTACGTGTTTAGATTTTAATTTGTTGTACTTGGTGATCAGATCCAGCTTACTGTGCCCCAGAGTCATTCTTTTCTCTGCCCCGTACGCGCTGTTCTTCTCCATCAGCATGTCCTCGGGGACTTTGTCATAGCAAGGAACCACAGGCTTTTTATCTCGTTTCACCTGGTTGTATGAGGATAGCAGGTCCAATTTGCCTTGTCCGAGACTCTCTCTTTTTTCCATCCCATAAAAAGTGTTGTCATCTTCTGCTGTCGCTTCCCTGGAGGTACCAACAGGTCCTTTCTGCTTCGTGCTTGTCCCATTGCTGCTGGCACCTTCTGAAAGGGACTGCAAGGTCTGCTCCTGTCTCACCGGGGAGCAGTGGCTGCTGTTAGCCTTATTGTCCCCTTGATAACCAGGTTTATCAGAGCTCAGGGCAGGGGAAGGCTCCAGCTGCAGGAATGTCCTTGCTGTCACAAGATTTGATTTGTCATACAAAGCTGGGGTGGATTCATTTGGAGGACTGTTTGGTGAGTCTGGTGGTTCTCCTTGCTGTTTAGGGCAAGTGGGCTTCAGAGATGTGTCTTCCTTCCCCTTCTTATTACCAGAATCAGAGTTTGAATCTTGCTTTTCCTGGTGGACATTGCAGCTGGAGTTTTTCAGGAAGGGAGACATTTTTATGCTTCTGATGCTTACGTTGGAAAGGCTGCTGGAGGGACTCAAGGTTTCAGCCTCGTTCACCTGGGCGGGTTTTAAAAGGGAGTTGGCAAATTTTGAGGTATTCTGAGAAGAGGGGCATGTTCCGGGATCTGGCACACAGAAGCTGGTCACTGCTTTGGACTCTGCATACAAGTACCGGAATTGCTTGTCAAACTCGGCAACAATTTGACCACGGAAGTGGGTCACCAGGCTGGTGTGGACTTGGCTGCAAAGCCAGGTGAAACTGTGAAAAAAAAGAAAAAAAAAACCCCACATGTAACTAGTTCACAGAGCGCCAAGGTGCCCAACATTGATTTTAAGAGTTGAGTGATGGTACCCAATTTATGTCATTAGAACATTGAGTTGGTACCCAATTTATGTCATTAGAACTTTCTCTGAAGTATGCAAGCCTGAGATAACTTGTATAGATTGATGTACTACATAATTACACAAGAACAACCTAAAATCATTTCATTTCAGCTTTGTCTTGTAATGAACTGGATGGAAATACAAACAATGAACAAGAAATATCAGCTGGTTCTCCTTAGCAACTGGTCCATGCCTACAAAGCACAGCAGCATGTTTCAGGCCTTTTCTTCTCCAGCTTCCCCTCGCCAGCAATCTCTGCCCATAGGCAAGGAGACTTTGGGGGGATATCACGGCATGCCTGGTCTCCTGTTCTCTTCCCTTGCCTTGGCAGGAGCAATGTTCTCATGTTCTTAACAGCTGTGTCCTGGTGTGAGCTGGGCCAGAGCTGGTTCTGTTCAGCAGCTGGAACAGCGCTGGGGTTTGGGTTCAGCTGGGATTTGTTAGGAGAGAAACACTGAGAACATCCCCATGTTGGCATTTGTCGCTGGAAGTCAAAGGACTTAATGTTTTGCTGGTCTACAAGTGCAAGGTCTGGGAGGGGCAATGAATATTTAAATTAATGAGCTAAATTGGCATTGGGCTCTGCCAAGGGGCTGTTCCATCTCCTGTCCCCCATGGGCAGGAGATCCATGAGGGGCTCTTCCTCTCTTGCTCTCTCTGGCTTTCACTCGGGCTCTGGCTCTCCCGGGATTGCGGTTTCGGGTCAGGATTGTGGCTCCTCTGGGATCGTGATCTGGGAACAGGCCGGGCTTGGTCAGCGGGTGGTGAGCAATGGCACTGGGTGTCCCTCATTTTCATATTTTGTTACTATTATTATTATTATAATTACTATTTTAATATCATTATTATTTTAAGTTTTCTTTTATTTCAATGATTAAATTGTTCTTATCTCACCCTACGAGTCTCCTTCCCCTTGCCCCCCAATTCTCTCCCCTGTCCCCTCAGAAGGGGAGCCACTTGAAGGAGGCAGGAGGGTGAGGAATGGAGACCTTGGGCACTACCTTGAGGAGCAGAGGTCTCCAGACCCTCACAGGAACACCTCAGGACAGGAAGGCTGATGATGTTTTTCATAAGTATTGCTGTGAGATTCCCCAGACTCTTTCCATCTTTGCCTTGCTGTCCAGTTAAGAGATGCGTGGTGTCAGGAGTTCACGAGTCCTTTGCTCAGCAAGTTCAGTCCCCCTCTCACAGTACAATGTCTTGTGATGTTTTCTGAGAGCTTGTTATCTTCCACCTCAAAATGAATTAGGTTTTGCCCCAGCTGGGGAAAAACTTCCACTAATTGCCAATCTGCATATTTTCCTTACCTGTTTAACCTTACCTGTTGTTCGTGCCACAACTGGAACTTAATTAGCTCTCCCCCCATATATCTACAGATAATAATGACATTTCTCCTCCCAGTCTTCACTTTCCCAGATTAACCAGGGAAGCACCTCTTCCAGACCAGGCTCCTCAGGCTCCTGGTCATCCCAGTCATCAGCTGCTGCTTTTATTCTTGCTCTAGTCAAACTAGAGGAGCAGACTGATTGTGTTAAAACGGAACCTTCACCGATGGAAGTACCAGCATGGGGCTGCGTTATCAGCTGCTAAAGCAAGATACTGACTTTGACAAGAGCAGGATGAAATCACAGAAACTTCAGGAGAACAATTGTAATGGGAGAATCCAATTATTTTGTAGTAAATGTGATTTCAGAACAAGATACTGGCACTATGTTTTGGGACCTCATCAATGTTTACTTCACAAGACATCTATCTGGGAACTTTTAGTAGGAAAACCAGCTCTTGGCTTGTTCTTGGCACTGAGAAGTGTGCACTTGCTATGGTTCACAATGTTGTTTTGAAGACAGTACTGTACTTACACTCAGAAGACATAACCCCCAAAAAGCAATATAAAATGAAAAGATCTTCGCTCTCATAAGGCCCCACCTGGAGTGCTGCGTCCAGTTCTGGAGCCCCCATCACAAGAGAGACCTGGAGCAGCTGGAACAAGTCCAGAGGAGGCCACGAGGATGATGTGAGGGCTGGAGCAGCTCTGCTGTGAGGACAGGCTGAGAGAGTTGGGGCTGTTCAGCCTGGAGAAGAGGAGGCTCCGGGGAGATCTTATAGTGGCCTCCCAGTACCTGAAGGGGCTACAAGAAAGCTGGGGAAGGACTTTTCATAAGGGCAGTTAATGACAAAACAAGGGGAAATGTGTTCAAGCTGGAAGAGGGGAGGTTTAGATTAGATATTAGGAAGAAGTTCTTCACTGTGAGGGTGGTCAGACACTGGCCCAGGTTGCCCAGAGAAGCTGTGGCTGCTCCTCCCTGGAAGTGTTCTCGGCCAGGCTGGATGAGGCTTTGAGCAACCTGGTCTAGTGGAAGGTGTCCCTGCTGCTGGCAGGGGGGTTGGGACTGGATGAGCTTTAAGGTCCCTTCCAAACCAAACCGAACCATTCTATGATTCTATGATTCTGTGATCCCTGCCAGAACCCAACTTTATACAGAACATAAGGGAGGACCAGTCTCATGTTGAAATCCCTGTAAAAGAAACAAATCAACAAAGCAGATAGTAATAAATTGGCAGGACCAGGTAACTAACCCCGCAGCACCAGAGGAATGCAAGGATGAAACAGCTGAACTACTAACCAGGATGTGTTCTCGCTCACTTGAAAGTGCCTTGGTTATCAGAAGGGTGGAAAGTTGCTGATGGGATACAACTTTTTTTTAATGATCCAAACCATTAAGTCTCATAACTGCACAGCATAAATTAGTAGAGACTCTTCTAAAGAATACAATTAATGGCCATATGGGTAAATACAATCTAATAGGAAGGCAGCTTTGGCAAGGGGAAGTTATCTCTCGCAAAGGGAAGTTATCTCTCACAAAGCTCAGAGACTTCTTTGAAGTAACCCAAGAGTCCAGACAGGGGAGATTTCATGTAGCCTGTACCGACCTTGTCAAAGCGTCTATCCCAGGGGCACTGCCTGGCTCCCAGGAGTGCTGCTGTTCCCGTCCACGCTGCTTCCAGCTGTTACCCCTCTGCACTGCACAGTGCTCAGACGTGTCCCACCTCAGGACCTGCTCCACAAAAGGGCTCAGAGGGCTGAGCATCCTCTGCTCTGGAGGGGCAGGTTTGCATCCCTTGTACTGCGAGCATTGTCCCATGAAAGGACAATGAGAGGACAACTGTGAGAGGACCCTGGCCAGTCAGGTGAGGATAGTGCCTGCAAACCCAGCCTGGCACCGCTGTCACCAGCAGACCTGGAAAGAGAGCTGGGCAAGTGGTCATGTTTGCCTTCCTCATCCTGGCTAAGAGTCCTTGTGTCTCAGACTCAAATGGTCTAGCAGGAACATCACAACAGCTACCCATCAACACCTCTGGCCTCACCTTAGTGGGACGTAAACAACAGGTCTTGCTTAGGTTTTCCTTCCCTCCCTAGACAAAGTGACTTCCACCTTCTATCTTCTCCCAGCACCCTCTGACCCAGGTACTGCCTCACTGCAGAGACGTACGAGATAGATACACCCAACCACCTCCTCTCATCCACAGGAACTGTCCTTTCCTCTGTAGAAGGGGAGCAGCCTCAGATCCAGCAATACACTCCCCTGGCCTCATGACTGTCCCCACCACTGACGCCTCTTATGGCTCTTTCCCCAGTCCAAGAATTACTGTGTCCCAGTTTCCCATGCCAATCCAATGGGGGCTGCATGCTCTGTGTCACAGCAGGACCTGGGAGGAATCATCCAAGTTCCCCCAGTGGCACAGCCCCCCCCTTCCTTGCCATAGTGCAGGTTTCCACGATAGGATGATGTGGCCTTGCCAGCCATGGCTGTTCCCATCCCTACAAACTGATAAAGGTCTCTTCCTCCATGTCACAGAGGAAATAGCCACAGAATGATCATTTTTGGTCTCTTCTGGTATAAAAATGAGGCACTGAATGAAGTTAACGGGTTACAAATTCCATACAGACAAGAAGGGGTACTTTCTCCACAACATAACACACTGGCAAGCTGTGGAGCTCCTCACTGCAGGCCACTGGGGATGCTAAAAGTTCATCTGAGTTTCTAAAAGTGGTAGGATTTTTCTGCCTGTTTTTTTTTCCATAACAAACTAGTGCACACAGAGATCCCATATCCAGTTCTGAATCACCCTGGGGCACAAATGACAGCAGACTAGGACAGGATCCCTTCCCTGCCTTGCTTTCATACAGTCCGGCAGCAGGAACCCTTCAGGAACCCGTGCAGCTCAGCCTTTGGCCAGGAGATGGAGTTACAACATCACCTCCCAGGAGGTGGGGACACCTGCCTGTCCTTCCTCAGCATCCCCTGCTCTGGAGCTCTGGCCTGGGTGAGTGGCATGAGCATCCTGAGGTATTTCAGTCAAAGTCTCAGCCTCAGCAGCATTTTCGACAACAGGATTAGCTCTTCTGCGTGCCCCTCTGCAAAACTGCAGTGTGGTCTTCACACTCAACTTCTCTGCCTCAGCTTTTCCAACTGAGGAGATACCAATTTTCAACAGAAGGTTTTTTGTTTCTTTCCATAGGTTCTCTTACTCATTTTTATTGCTTTTCTGTCACTTTGGTTGTCACTTTTCTTTCTGCATGCCAACACAAACTTCCGTGTATCATTTTTGCTCATTGCTAAATCACAGGATCCCAGAATTGCCTGGACTGGAAAAGCCCTTTAAGCTCATCGAGTCCAATCATGAACCCAACGCTGACCAGTCCCCTATGACTAACCCATGTCCCTCAGCACTGTGTCTACACGACTCTTCAATCCCTCCAGGGATGGGGACTCCACCACTGCCCTGGGCAACCCCTTCCAATGCCTCAGAACCCTTTCAGCAAAGAAATTCTTCCTCACATCCAATCTCAACTGCCCTGGCCACAACTGGAGG